TATTCTCCAAGATACATGAGTACAGGTATCTCTTCAAGATACTCATTTCCTTTCCTATGGATATATACCCAGAAATAAAATTTTTGGATCATAGGTAGTTCATTTTTAGCTATTTGAGGAACCTCCATATTCTTTTCCACAGTGACTGCAACAATTTGCATTCCCACCAAAGTGCACAAAGGTTCCCTTTTCTCCACAGCCTCACCAACAATTATTATCTTTTGTTTTTTTGGTAATAGCCATCCTAATAGGTGTGAGGTAATATTTCATTTTGGCTTTGATTTGCATTTCCTTGATGATTACTGATGTTGATCACCTTTTCATATATCTGATGGCCATCTGTATGCCTTCTTTAGAAAAATGTCTATTCAGGTCCTTCGCCATTTTCAAATCTCATTATTTATTTTTGCTATGGAATCAGATGAATTTCTTACATATATCAGATATTAACCTCTTATTACATATATGTTTTGCAAGAATTTTCTCTCATTCAGTAGGTTGCCTTTCCATTTTGTTGATTTTTCCTCCCTGAAGAACAAGGGGTTTGAGATCCATATTAGGTATGCCCTGCGCTGGGGGCCTGCAGTGGAAAGACAAGCCTTCATAATATATGGCTTTAAAAATCATTAGGGTTTAATTCCAGGAGTGTTAGAGGGCTATAGGAAACTGAAATTATGCTTTTAAAGAGCCTGTGCACATATTCACTCACTCTGAGGCCCAGCACAGAGGCAGCTGTTTGAAAAGTACCTGGAACGTAGATGATGATTTAGTGACTAATTTTAGGGCATATGTCAGAGGGGTAGAGATTTGTAAAAACTTTCTGAGAACAGAAAAGCTGGTATGAGCTATTTTTCTCACCCTCTTTCTGCCTAGCTGGCCCAACGTTGGTAGGTACCAGTTCTGACACTTTTCCATCTACCTTGTTAGCACTGCACACCCCATCCCAGGATTCCTTTGAGGACTGGCTCTGTCTAACCCACCCACTCTGGCAGGCACTCCTCCAAGGTGGTCCTGCTCTATCATACCCAGCAGGTATACCTGGCCAGGACCAACAGCCCCCAAAGTGGCTACCAACTTAACACACCTAGTAGGTGGCCTTGGCCAGAACAAGGCCCTCCAAAGCAGCTCTTGCCTGATGGGAGGGCAGGGGGCAGCCCTGCCCACCAGTACAACAGCAACAGTCGTGACCTGGCTTGCAACCAACCACAACAGGAGCTAGCCCTGCCCATGAAACCACCCACAGCAGTCGTGGCATAGTCACAAGAGAAGGGCACACACATCTCAAACAGGGGACACATCCTTGGAGTGCCTCATTTTGATGATGAGGGAAAACTGTGCTCTGTGCCCCACAGGATACCTACTACATAAGGCTACACCTTCAAAATAAAGAGCCATAGCTGATCTACCTAATACACAGACAGAAACAGATAGTCAAGCAAAATGAGGAGACAGAGGAATATGTTCCAAATGAAAGAACAAGACAAACCTTGAGAAAGAACTAAACAAAATGGAGATAAGCAATCTCTCTGACAGAGTTCAAAGTAATAGTCATAAATCTGATAACTAAACTTGGAGAAGACTGGATGAACACAAAGAACTTCAACAAAGAGATATAAAATACTTAAATAAAAAACAACCAGAGCTGAGGAATACAACATCTGAATGAAAAAATACACTAGAGAGAATCAACAGCAGAGTAGAGGATGCAGAAGAATGGATCAGTGATCCAGAAGACAGGTAACGGAAAGCACTCAAGCAAAAAGAAAAAAGAGTTTTAAGAAGGAAAATAATTTAAGGGACCTCTAGGACAACATCAAGCATACTAACATTCTTATTATGGGGGTTCCAGAAGTAGAAGAGAAAAGAAACAAGCAGAATACGTACCTGAAGTATAATAGCTGAAAACGTCCCTTATCAGGAAAGGAAACAGACATCCAAGTTCAGGAAGCACAGAGAGGACGAAACAAGATGAACCCAAAAAGATCTACAGCAAGATAATTATTAAAATGTCAAAAAATAAAGATAAAAAGAGAATCTTAAGAGCAGCAAGATAGAAGTAACTAGTTACATACAAAGGAACACCCATAAACACATCAGATGATTTTTCAGCAGAAACTTTTCAGGCCTGGAGGGATTCTCATGATATATTCAAAGTGCTGAATGGAAAAAAAACCTACAAACAAGAACACTCTACCCAGCAGGGCTTTCATTAGAATTGGAGAGATAAAACAGTTTCCCAGACAAAGGGTAAAGAAATTCATCACACTAAACCATTCCTACAAGGAATGTCAATTTACTTAAGTAAATAAAAAAAGTCATATCTAGATGTAAGAAAATTATGAAAGTAAAATCTCACTGGTAAAAGTAAACATAGAGTGAAGGTAATGGATCAAGCATTTATAAAGTTAGTATGAAGGTGAAAAGACAAAAGCAGTAAAATCAACTATATCTACAGTAATTAGTTAAGCAAAAATAAAAGATGAAAATATGAAACCAGGTACACAGAACATGGACAGGGAATAAAAATGTAGTGCTTTCAGAATGTATTCAAAATAAAGAGATCATCAACTTTAAAAAGATGGCTATAGGGGCACCTGGGGGCTCAGCTGATTAAGCGGCTGCCTTCAGCTCAGGTCATGATCCCAGGGTCCTGGGATCGAGCCCTGCATCAGGCTCTCTGCTCAGCAGGGAGCCTAATTCTCCCTCTCCCTCTGCTGTTCCACCTGCTTGTGCGCCCTCTCTCTCCGTCAAATAAATAAATAAAATCTTTAAAAAAATAAAAATAAAAAGATGGCTGTATACATAGGTTGTTGTGCATGAACCTCATGGTAATCACGAACCAAAAACCTATAATAGATACACAATAAAATAAGGACAAAAGAATCCATGCATAACAGAAAAAAGTCATCAAATCACACAGGTAGGAGGAGCAATAGAAGGAACAAAGAAGAACTAAAAAATCAACCAGAAAACAATTAACAAAATGTCAGTAAGTACACACCTACCAATAATAACCTTAAATGTAAGTGAACTAAATGCTTCAATCAAAAGGCACAGGATAAGGGAATGGATTAAAAAAATAAGACCCATCTATGCCGCCCATAAAAGACTCATTTGAGGCCTAAAAACAGATATAGACTGAAAGTGAAAGGATGGAAAAAGATATTCCATGCAGAAGAATGAAACTGAACCATTTTCTTACAGCATATACAAAAGTAGACTCAAAATGGATGAAACACCTAAATGTGAGACAGGAATCCAACAAATTCCTAGAGTAGAACACAGGCAGCAACTTCTTAGGCCTCAGCTGCAGCAACTCCTCACTAGACATGTCTCCAAAGGCAAGAGAAATAAAAGCAAAGATGAACTATTGGGATTTCATCAAGATAAAAAGCTTTTGCACAGCAAAGGAAACAGTCAACAAAGCTACAAAGGCAACTTATGGAATGGGAGAAGATATTTTCAAATGTCTTATCAGATAAAGGGCTAGTATCCAAAATCTATAAAGAACTTTTCAAACTCAACAGACAGAAACAAGAAATGGGCAGAAGACATGAACACACATTTCTCCAAAGAAGACATACAAATGGCCAACAGACATATGAAACAATGCTCAACATCACTTGGCATCAGGGAAATACAAATCAAAACTACAAGATACCACCTCACACCAGTCAGAATAGCTAAAATGAACAAGTCAGGAAACAACAGATGTTGACGAGGATGCAGAGAATGGGAACCCTCTTACACTGTTGGTGGGAATGCAAACTGGTGCAGCTATTCCAGAAAACAGTATAGAGGTTCCTCAAAAAGTTAAAAATAGAAATACCCTATGACCCAGCAATTGCATCCAAAGTATACAAACATACTGATTCAAAGGGGCACACACACCCCAATGTCCAGCAGCAATGTCCACAATAGCCAAACTATGAAAAGAGTCCAGATGTCCACTGATTGATGAATGGATAAAGAAGATGCGGTATATATATACAATGGAATACTACTCAGCCATCAAAAAGAATGAAATCTTGCCATTTGCAATAACTTGGATGGAACTAGATGGTATTATGCCAAGTGAAATAAGTCAGTTAGAGAAAGACAAATTGATTTCACTCATATGTGGAATTTAAGAAACAAAACAGATGAACATAGGGGAAGGAAGGAAAAACAAAATGAGATGAAAATAGAGAGGGAGGCAAACCGTAAGAGACTCTTAAATGGAAACAAACTGAGGGTTACTGAGGGGAGGTGGGTGGAGGGAAGGGGTAATTGGGTGATGGGCATTAAGGAGGGCACGTGATGGAATGAGTACTGGGTGTTATATGCAACTGATGAATCACTAAATTCTATCCCAGTAACAAATAAAAAAAAAAAAAAATCCCCCTGAATCAAAAGATATGCTGAGTTTTTTTTTAAGATTTTTTTATTTATTTGACAGAGAGAGAGATAGCCAGAGAAGGAACACAAGCAGCGGGGAGTGGGAGAGGGAGAAGCAGGCTTCCCGCTGAGCAGGGAGCCCCATGCGGGACTCGATCCCAGGACCCTGGGATCATGACCTGAGCCAAAAGCAGATGCTTAACAACTGAGCCACGCAGGTGCCCCTATCCTGAGCTTTAGATACAGAAAGAATAAAATTTGACTACAGCTGAAAAAAAAAATACTGGCCTTTAAATAATTTCCAGGAATACAGACACAAAAGCAGGAAATTAGTTTCTTAAATTTACATTGAATATACACTAGTTAGTTTTTAGAAAGTTGTAAGTATGTAACAAAATAAGAATTAGAATAAAAATTTATCATAAAAATGTAGATGATCAATTGATGCAAAGAGAAGGCCATATATGGTTCAAAGGAAATTGTAACATTAGAAAAAGATGAGGATGTTCTGAGAGAAAGAATATTTGCTAGTTATACAACCCATTCATATAATTTTCTTACACATAAATTAAGTAAGGACAATAATTGCCCTGAAAATAGTAATAAAACATACACAAACTCACCTTTTCACTTACAAAAATGTTATAGTCCACTGGGTTTTGTTCTATGCCTTGGTTATCTTCAGTAAGATCTTCAAATTCACTGTTTCCACTCAATTTATAAAGAAGATGTTGAAATTCAACTGCAGATTCCAGAGGCTCGATTCCATAAGAAACATTTTCAAATTGCAGTATTCCTCTGTAAAATTAAGAATAAAACTGTAAGTGCTTTTAATAGATTCTCTATTATAAAACTCTGACAGAATCCAAAAGAAGAAGGAGAAAGAGGAGGATAAAGAACATTGTTGAGCTCAGTATTTTGACCCAAACTCTTTACATTATGGAAATAATTCTGAAGAGACAAAATATCTCCTGCAACCCACAAAATTAGCTTTCAATTTGATTCTCTCTATCAATATAAAGGCAGCAGAAATCATGTAATCAGTTGCGAGGTGTATAAGTATACAGCATTACAGTGATTAAGGAATTCCCTGTTCTCCAAGTCAGTGACTTAATGAGAGCAAAAGTAAATAGAAATCTTAATGAATTTCTCTCTGGTTGGCACTGCTTTTGAAAAATGATCACATTGCCTATATAACAAAAGTATATGTAATAAGTAAAATTTTATCTATAAAAATAAAATTTAGCAGTAATTTTGAAAAGGCATTTATTAATCTTTATGCACACAGTCTGAATAACAAATTAAAAGCAAGATTTTAAAGATTAAACAAATTTTATAACTATTTTTCTCTGGCTCTGGCTCTGGTTCAAGTGGCTACTTCCCAAATAACAAACTATAGGGTTCCATGTAACAAGCACCGAGGAACACTTATTTGTTTGTTAAAATAAGGATCTTATGCTACAAAAATAAGGATGAAGAATTTCCTGACAGAATGGAAAACTCTAGGCACTAAGGAAGAAACTCTACAATTGTTATCATTTAAGACATTGATATTATTAGAAAAATATGAGTACTATATTAGTAATTATTTGCTTATATAGAATTTGCCTCCTCTCCCTGAAGGTGATTTTCCTTGAGAAAAAGTATGCCTTGTTTATTTTTATTTATCTTTATATCTCCAAACACTAGGCCAGTAGGTGACACATGGTAGGTACCAAACATATCCATTTGCTGAAAAAATAAGCTATCCTAAACAGCTCCTCCAACTTGCTATAGTCATTTACATTCAGTTGTCATTTCTGTAGCTAAAAAAAAAAAAAACAAACAAACAAAAACAAGATATAGAACAAGGAGACAAGGAAATCTAAAACTTCAAGGAGGTTAGAAATGTCTCTGGCCAGCAAGGAAAGTGAGGAGATACAAGAGAAGAAACATGTTCAGAGGAGGATATCATTGCATTATCTCACATGGGAATCCTCTTCCAGCCCCAAACTTAATATAAACATAAGAAATTCACTACAGTCAAATATCATTAACTACAATGTTCACATATCAATGACAGAAAATAAATAACCTCAATCCAGAGCACGTGCTGAGTGTCACAACAGAATTCGGATGTCCTTCAATATGCCCCTGGTAGTAGCACTGAGCCTAGGAAAGAAAAAAAGTGAAGTACTTATTTAGGATTGACAAACTTTCCAATAATTTCTTATTTTTATACTTGTTAGAACTTTCTGAATATTTTCACAGGCTACATGGTTTATATATCAGTATGGATAAAGTGACATTCAGGAAAAGTTTCCCTATATTTGTCACTTTTACTATATTAACTACTCTTCTGATTAATATTTGGAATTATTATTTTATACTCTGCTTCCAAAGTGTTATCTCATAATTTTGGTTAAATTGCTTTCCAATATATAAATTTAGTTCATCAATCAAAAGACAAAGATTATGAATCTGGATTTCTGAGAAAACCCCATATTCTATTAAAAAAATCTAAAATTTAAGGACACAGGAAGATTAAAGAACTAGAAAACAATACACCATATCAACACAAACCAAAAGGATGATTCTGAAACTATACTAATATAAGAAATGAAGACGTTAAGGCAAGAAGCATTACCAAGTGATAAAGAGAGACATTTCATAATGAAAAGAGTTTCAACTGATCAGGAAGATATAAATATTCCAAATTTGTATTCACTTACTAGATAGCTTCAAAATATATAAGCTCAAAATTAAAAAAATAATAAAAATAGAGAAATGCATAATCATAGTAAAAGATACACTTCTGATAAATCAAGCATTCAGAATCTACAGAAGATCTGTAGCATGTTAGCAACCTAATATAGGCAGAATAAAAACTGTAAAATGTACTTTCTTTTTAAAAAACATGGAATATTTACAAAAATGAAACCATATTCTGGGCCATGAAGCAAGACAAGAAATCTTAAAGAACTGAAATCATACAAAGTTTGGTCTCTAATCACAGTAGCTAGAGATATAGCAGACATCATCACAGGGAGAAGATTATGTAATTTCCAAGATTCAATAGTGCTATAAATATTGGTGGAAACAAATGTATGATTTCTAATTAACACACTGCTTTAAAATAGAACTAAGAGAAGATTATGTAATTTCCAAGATTCAGTAGTGCTATAAATATTGGTGGAAACCAATGTAAGATTTCTAATTAACACACTGCTTTATAATAGAACTAAGGGGAGGAAGAAGGAGCAAGAAAAGGAAACTGACAGCCCTAGCCAATAAAAGTGAAGCAACATGGTATCCAAATTCAATCTTTCAAAAAAATTTTGTTATGCTAACTATACGTCAGGCATTTTTCTAGGCACTGGGAATACATCAGTGAATAAAAAAGACTAAAATAAAATCCCTGCCTTCATGAAGATTATTTTTCACTGGTGAAACAGAAAATAAATAGATAAAATGTATGGCACATCATATATTGATAACCACCATAAAGAAAAACAAAACAGATAAAGTAAGAGAGTACTAAGAGTAAGAGAGCAATTTAAAATAGGAGTTAGTCAGGGACTAATAGGGTAATTTTAAGCAAAGACCTTAAGGAAAAGGAATCTTGGGAAAGAGCAAGCATCTGGATCAAAGAAAATAGAAAGTGCAAAGATCCTGGAAGGAGAACATATCTGCTATGCTGAAGAACAGCAAGAACAAAATAGCTGGAACAGAATGAGCAAGGTAGACAGTAACAGGAAATAAGGTCAGTCAGGTAAAGAGGATCAGATTGTATAAAGGCTGTAGGATATTGAAATGACTTTTGCTTTCACTTTGTGAACAACAGGAGGTCATACCATGGAGGGTTCTGAGCACAGAAACAACACAATGTGTCTAGGCTTTAACAGGATCGATCTGGTTGGTCATGTTGTAAACTGACTAAAGGGATGGGCAAGGTATAGAACAAAGGAGATTATTCAGGAAGTTATAGCAGTAATCTAAGCATTTACCTGGAAAAGAGTGTTATTAGGATAGAGACAGAGGAAGAGGGTGGATCTGGCTATCTAATTTAAAGGGTAGGGTCAATAAGATTTATTGATGGATGGGATGGGGGTTAAGAAAAGAAAAGGTTTAGGAGCAAAATGGTGGAGTAGGAGACCTAAATTTCGTCTGGTCCCAGGAATTCAGCTAGATAGGGATCAAACAATTCTGAACACCTACAAACTCAAAAGGAGATAAAAAGAATAGCAGCAACTCTCTGAACAGAAAAATGACCACTTTCGGGAAGGTAGGACGTGCGGAGAAGTGAATCCGAGGCGATATTCGGGAAGATAGATGGCGGGGGAGGGGGCCTCCGTCAGCTGCTTCTGGCAAGTGATAGAGCAGCGGAGCACAAAATCAGAACTTTTAGAAGTCAGCTCCGCTGAGGGCGTTGCTCCAGTGGCTAAATGGAGGGTGGAACCCTCGTTGGGACAGTGTGGTCTCAGGACCCTCGGGGTCACAGAAAGACGGGGGTGCCTGAGTGCAGCAGAGCTCCCAGGTATCGGAGCGGGGCAGCCGGCTGCAGAGACAGAGCCGAGGCACGGGCTCTCAGCTCGGGGTTGCCATAACCCGTGATCCGGGCCCAGTCGAGCCACTGCTCCTCCAGCAGGGACCCAACAAGCGGCAGATCCGGGGAAACTCACCTTCCTCCCCCAGGAGGAGCGGCATGGGAGCGCACCACAGGGATCTGCTGGGTTTGGAGACTACACACGGGGTCATGTGCCAGAGACAGAAACGCTTGGTCATAGCCCGGGTGAGCACAGAGTGCAGCAGGAGACTGGGGAGACGGGAGTGATTGACAGCTTTTCTCTGGGGGAGCACTGAAGAGTGGGGCCCCGAGTTCTTGGCTCCTCTGGCTCCTCCAGGGCGGAGATTGGGAGGTCGTGATTTCACTCTCGTCCTCCAAAGCTGTAGGGAAAGCTTGCAGGTAACAAACGCTCCCGAGAGCAAACCCGAGCAGATTACTTAGCCTGAACCGGCAAGGGCGGGGCAATTCCGCCTCCGGCAAAGACATTTGGGAACCACAGCGACAGGCCCCTCCCCCAGAAGATCAGCACGAACAGCCAGCCAAGACCAAGTTTACCCATCAATGAGAACGGCAGAACTCCAGCACTAGGGAAATACTGCACATAGAAATCATGCTTTTTTCCCAATTCTTTAGTCTTTCAAAGTTAATTTTTTTAACTTCCTTTTTCTTTTTTTTTTGAATTTCCTTTTTCCCTTTTTCAACAAACATCTCTTCAATCCCTTTTTTAAAAAATCTTTTTGATTTTTCATTTTTAGAGTCATATTCTATCCCTTCATAGTAGTTAGCCTTATTTTTGGTATATATATAGTTCTCTCTTTAAAATTTTGGGATACAGTTTCTTCTAACAGACCAAAATATACCCTAAATCTCTAGTGTATGGCTTTGTTCTAGTCTCCTGCCTGATCACATTCACTCCTTTTTTTTTAATCCCCTTCTTTATTTTTTCAACCAACTTCTCAATTCCTTTTATAAAATCTTTTATAATTTTCATCTTTACAGTCATATTCCATCCCTTCATCATATTAACCGATATTTTTGTACATATAAAAGTTTTTCTTTCTTTAAAATTTTGGGAGGCACTTTCTTCTAACAGACCAAAATACGCCCAAAATCTAGTGTGTGGCATGGATCTACGCACCAGCCTGATCATATTTGATCATATTCTGGTTTTTTTGTTTCTTTTTATCTTTTTCTTTTTTTTTTCTTTTTTCTTTCTTTCCCTTTCTTTTGCCCCGGTTTCAGGTCTCTTCTGATTTGTTTAGTGTATATTTTTCCAGGAACGTTGTTACCCTGTTAGCATTTTGTTCTCTCATTATTCTATTCTCCTCTGGACAAAATGACAAGATGGAAAAAATCACCTCAAAAAAAAGAACAAGAGGCAGTACCGACTACCAGGGACCTACTCAATACGAACATTAGTAAGATGTCAGAACTAGAGTTCAGAATGACGATTATAAAGATACTAGTTGGGCTTGAAAAAACCATGGAAGCTATTAGAGAAACACTTTCTGGAGGAAAAAAGGAACTAAAATCTAACCAGGTTGAAATCAAAACAGCTATTAATGAGGTGCAATCAAAAATGGAGGCTCTAACTGCTAGGATAAATGAGGCAAAGAGAAAATTGGTGATACAGAAGACGAAACGATGGAAAATAGAGAAGCTGAGAAAAAGAGAGATAAACGACTACTGGATGACGAGGGCAGAATTCGAGAGATAAGTGATACCACAAGACAAAACAATTTTAGAATAATTGGGATCCCAGAAGAAGAAGAAAGAGAGAGAGGGGCAGAAGGTATATTGGAGCAAATTATAGTAGAGAACTTCCCTAATTTGGGGAAGGAAACAGGCATCAAAATCCAGGAAGCACAGAGACCCCCCCAAAATCAATAAAAATAGGTCAATGCCCCGACATCTCATAGTAAAACTTACAATTCTCAGAGACAAAGAGAAAATCCTGAAAGCAGCTCAGGAGAAGAGATCTGTAATAGACAATGGTAGAAACATTAGATAGGCAACAGACCTATCCACAGAGACCTGGCAGGCCAGAAAGGACTGGCATGATATCTTCAGAGC